CCATTGCTTTGCAAATCAGACAATGGAGATTGGAGCATTAAGAGGAAAAAAAAAAAAAATATATATATATATATATAGTGTGGGTGTTTAAGGAGATTCCAACTTATAAGTTGTTTTGGGGCCCTTGACCATAAAAGGGCTAGAAAAACTATGGATGGAGCCGTGGTCAGAGAGCCTAGGTAGAAAGTGGATTCTTCCCCTGGTTGTCCCCATGTGACCATAGAACTCACCTGGGCTCTCCAGACCTCAGAATCCTATGGGTCCAGTGAGTAGCATGGACTGGATGATTGTGAAGTCCTTTTCCCAGACCGTTCAGTTTAAGATTTACACTCATCCTTGGCCAGGACAGGACAGAGTCCCCACTGTGCCAAAAGGCAGTGATAGGGAAGTGACTAAGCCTGAAGCCTCCGAATCAATCAGCCTGGGTGCCTGATTCTGACTCTGTGTGGCCTTAGACTGCTGATTTCACCTCTGTGCCTCAGTTTTCTCCTCTGTAAAATTAGAGTAGACATTTATATCTTATAGGGTGGTTGGGAAACATTCTCACAGTGTCTGGCCACCGGTAACCTCAATTTAATGTTAGCTCTTGTTTTCTTAAATTTTTTTTTCCTTTGGGACGTCCCTGGTGGCGCAGTGGTTAAGAATCTGCCTGCCAATGCAGGGGGCACGGGTTCAAGCCCTGGTCTGGGAAGACCCCACATGCCACGGAGCAACTAAGCCCGTGTGCCACAACTACTGAGCCTGTGCTCTAGAGCCCGCGAGCCGCAACCACTGAGCCCACGTGCCACAACTACTGAAGCCCGCGTGCCCAGAGCCTGTGCTCTGCAACAAAAGAAGGTCACCGCAATGAGAAGCCCATGCACCACAATGAAGAGTAGCCCCCACTCGCTGCAACTAGAGAAAGCCCGTGTGCAGCAGCGAAGACCCAACACAGCCAAAAATAAATAAATAAATATTAAAAAAATTTTTTTTGTTTCTATTATTCATTACAAAATTGAAGCTACATAGGTAATTCATCTTTATTTTAGAAAAAGTTATTCAAATATAGAGTTAAAGGTAAATCAAAGCGGGGGAAGTGGCAGGGGAATGCTGGTAGTGTGATGAGGAGATTGGGATTGATGTATATACACTAATATGTATAAAATGGATAACATAAGAACCTGCTGTATAAAAAAAGAAATAAAATAAAATTCAAAAACAATAAATAAATAAAGCTTACCTTTAGTGCCCCATAGGCCATTACTCTCCCCAGAAATAACCACTTTGTGTATATCCTTCTAGAATTTCTTTTTACATGAATACAATCATTCCGTGTAAAGTGTTTCTGCCACTTGCTCTTTTTACTTAGTTGTGAGACTTGGAGGGATTTCTGCAGGGTCGTCATGGATCTGCCTCACTATTTTTAATGCTGCACTGTATTTCATGGGTGGTTTGTGTTACAATTTATCTAGCTATTCTTCTATAGATGGACTTCCTCCTTTTCTTTAATTAATTTTTAGGTTCATTAATAATACATGAATATATTCTCTGCAAAAAAGCTAAAATATTCCAAATAGGACTAAAGTCCCCTTTGATGACCTGCTTGCCCATCTTCTTTTCCTCCCCTCCCCCATTAGAAACCCCAGCCATCCATTCGGAATGTAGGTTTCCACGACTTTTCCAATGCATGTCCGTAATTATGCATTGTTTTGTGTTTTCTGTGTTTTGTCTTGCAACTTGTTCTAAGTCACTCAGTAATATATGTAGAGTTTCCCAAGTCTATATAAACCTGTCTCTTTCTCTTTAACTCCCGCAGAATATTTCTTATTCTAGCTAGAGTTTGGATATATCCCATGGCTTAATAGTTTAGTTCCCTATTGATTGACATTTAGGTGGTTTCTAGTTTTTCTCTCTCAGCCCACATCCCTATCCACCAGTACCAGGGACATTCATTCATCAGCAATTTGAAAGCAGCATATGTGATACAGAGTAACCAACCGATGAAAGCCCTGTGGTCATGGGACTTTAAACTTAGTTGCTTTTAGAATCTGGCGTATTTGTTTTCCATCAGTTTAGACAATGTGACCTGGTGGGAAGAGAGAGGGCTGCAGAACCAAATAGAGTTCATTTCATCCTAGTCTTACCACCTCCAGCAAAGTTACTTCTCCTTCAGAGTTTTGATACCCTCAGCTGCACCCCTCACAGGACTATTGTGAAGGCTGACTTAAATACTGTGCGGGTCACCTGCCCCTTGGGGGACCCTCAATAGACACGGATTGTCACTGTTAAAATACAGCCCATCTCTTTCTATCTCCCAAAGGATCTGAGGTGCCTAGCTTAGACTTTCATGCTGCTTTTTTTTTTTTTCACATCTATATTGGAGTATAATTGCTTTACAATGTTATGTTAGTTTCTGCTCTACAACAAATTGAATCAGCTATATGGATACATATATCCTCAAATCCCCTCCCTCTTGAGCCTCCCTCCCACCCTCCCTATCCCATCCCTCTAAGTTGTCACAAAGCATTGAGTTGATCTCCCTGTGGCAACCTGTTTCTAAATTGACACTAAAATAACAAGCCAAAAGAAAATCTGAATATTCAGATTTCCTGCCAATTATAAATCAGCGTTATGTGGTGATGCATGACCCTCAAGAGAGAAGGACACATCTAGGAGGCTAATTCTGACGATTTCGGGCTTTCCCCACTCACCCCAACCCGATAGTTAATAGGAGCCAGGAAGAAGCCCCTGTATTTCAAGTGCCGATTCCCGCTGTACTGGCACTCCAAACATCTGAAGGAAAAACAGTTTGTTAATTGCTGTCTAGACAGTTTATTGCAGCAATAAGATCAAAACCCAGAATCCTAATGTTTGTGGTATGAATCATGCAGACTAAACAATTGTTTTATTGCACTTACAGAGAAGTTGATTTATAACATCACTGGGTAATAAAATTCCTTCATGGTTTATCCAAAATTATTTTGCTTCTTTTACACCACTCTGTGATAATTCCACCTCTCTGGGCTGTTGAAATGTGTTCTCTGTCACATGTAAAGAGCTTCTTATCCGATGTCTTGTTGTCTTCAAGGGCCAGGGGTCCATCCGTCCCGGTAAAGCCTTTGTGAGAGCAGGCAGCCTGAATGGCGCGGTTGTCATAGCTGCATCTGCCCACGCCAAGACATCTGGCAGTCCCTGAACCTGACAACCTCTTGTTTGTTGGCAAAGGCCAATTTGATGGTTTCACCCCATTGACTAGTTCCCGGATGAAATGGACAGAACCGACCAGTTCTTTGGTGCCTCTGCAACCCTGGGCTGATGCTCCCTCTGCTTGCAGCCATGTCCGCACCCTGATAGCCTGTGGAATATGAGAGAAAGAAGGAACAATCCAACCTGCATCCGTTATTGCCTCCCAAATCCCACAGCTGCCAGTGGAGCGGGGCTGCCTCCCTGAAACAGTGGCTCAGAAAGTCTAAGTGTCTCACTCAAGGTCAAATATTGGGAAGCATTTCTTTTTCAGGTTCTAAGTCCAGTGCTCTGTGACATGGGAAGCCAAGTGACTTGAGAGATTAGTATCGAATAAATTGTAATATCTTTCCTAAAGGAGATATGTCCATTTTGCTCTTCCCTTTTTTATCCCTGCCCTGAAGACAGTAAAACTCCACAGTGAGGGGCAGCTAATCTCCAAACCCCTGGAATCAAATGATAATTTCAAAAATTGATGTGAAATTCATAGGACATAAAATTAACTATTTTAAAGTGAACAATCCAGGGGCATTGCAGTATTGTGCAACCACGACCTCTATCGAATGCAAAACATTTTCGTCACTTGAGCAGAAAATCCCATATCCATTAAGCAATTGCTCTGTGTTTCCCCCTCCCACCAACCCCTGTCAACCACCAATCTGCATTCTGTCTCTATGGACTTACTATTCTGGATATCTCATATAAGGGAATCCTATAACACGTGGCTTTTTATGTCTGGCTCCTTTCACTTACTGTCATGTTTTTGAGATTCATCCACATTGTAGCATGTATCAGTACTTTATTCCTTTTTATGGCTGACTAATATTCCATTGTATTTATAGCCCTCGTTTTGTTTTGTTTGTTTGTTTAATTTTTGGCTGCGTGTGGGCTTTCTCTAGTTGCGGTGAGCGGGGGCTACTCTTCGTTGCAGTGCACAGTCTTCTCATTGCAGTGTCTTCTCTTGTTGCAGAGCACGGGCTCTAAGGCGTGCGGGCTCAGTAGTTGTGGCGCAGGGGCTTGGTTGCTCTGCGGCATGTGGGATCTTCCTGGACCAGGGATCGAACCTGTGCCCCTGCATTGGCAGGCAGATTCTTCACCACCGCGCCACCAGGGAAGCCCCCCTCATTTTGTTTATCCATTCATTATGTGATGAGAATTTAGGTTATTTACAGCTTTTGTCTGTCGTGCACTGTGCTGCTATGCACATGTGTGTACACATATTTGAGTGCCTGTTTTCAATCCTTTTGAGTATTGTACCTAGAAACAGAACTGCTGGATCACATAGTAATTCTATGCTTAGTTTTTGGGGAACCACCAAACTATTTTTCAGAGTGACTGAACCACTCTGCATCCCCACCAGGGATGCATATGAGTTTTCAATTTTTCCACATCCTTGTCAACACTTATTATATTCCATTTTTATTTTTGTGGGTTTTTTTGCAAAGACAGCTGTCCTACTGGGTATGAAGTGGTATCCTGTTGTGGTTTTCATTTCCATTTCCCTACTGACTAATGCTGTTGGGCATTTTTTCATGTGCTTGATGGCCATTTTGTATATCTTCTTTGGAAACGTCCTTTGCCCATATTTGTCTTTTTGTTGTTGAATTGTAAGCGTTTCTTTTTTGTTTTTTTTTTTGCGGTACGCGGGCCTCTCACCGTTGTGGCCTCTCCCGTTGCAGAGCACAGGCTCCGGACGCGCAGGGTCAGCAGCCATGGCTCACGGGCCCAGCCGCTCTGCGGCGTGTGGGATCTTCCCGGACCTAGGCACGAACCTGTGTCCCCTGCATCGGCAGGCGGACTCTCAACCACTGCGCCACCAGGGAAGCCCGTAAGTTTTTTTTTAATATATTTTAGATACTAGACCCTTATCAGAAATAGGATTTGCAATTATTTTTTCCCACTCAGTGAGTTTTCTTTTTCTTTTCTTTTTTTTTTTTTATTTTACCATTTAACAATAAGGAAAATTTATTGTATCACATTAACAGAGTGTGCCAAGTTAAGATGGCTCAAAAATGACTAATTTAGGGCTTCCCTGGTGGCGCAGTGGTTGAGGGTCCGCCTGCCGATGCAGGGGACACGGGTTCGTGCCCCTGTCCGGGAAGATCCCACATACCGTGCAGCGGCTGGGCCCGTGAGCCATGGCCGCTGAGCCTGCGCATCCGGAGCCTGTGCTCCACAACGGGAGAGGCCACAACCGTGAGAGGCCTGCGTACCGCAAAAAAACAAAAAAAGACTAATTTAGTATCTGAACAATGGATTAAAGATCCAGGTTTCTCTTCTCTTTCCATTCTGACGTCATATGTGTCTACTCTGCTCTTGGTGGCTCACCTCACGATTGCCCAGTGTTCTAGAGCCGCCCTTGTTCTAGAAATCACATGCAAACATGATGACGTCTAGAAGAAATATATTTCTTTTGTGAGTCTCTAAGCAAGAATCTCTGTTACAGAAGCACCCATTCCCAGCTGAAGTCACCTCATCCCTCCTTAGGCAGGATTTCATGACATGCCCAGGCCTAAACCAGTCACGGAGGAGGCCGTCAGGACTTGGAGTTGTCTTTTTCTAGATGCTGTCCTTTGATGCACAAAGTTTTACATTTTGATGATGTCCAAATTTATTCTGTCTTTTGTTGTTCATGCTTTCTGTGTCACATGTAAGAATCCATTGTCAAATCCAAGGTCATGTTTTCTCCCACAGTTGTTAGGGTTTAGCTTCTGTGTTTAGGTCACTACGTCATTTTGGGTTAATTTTTGTATGTGGTGTGAGGGAAAGGTCCATCTGTTTGGATATAGATTGCCAGATGTCCCAGCACAGATACTAAATTTTGTGGGTACTCTTCAGGTGTGATTTTCAAAGGCACCTGTGAAGCCTGGAAAGGTTGAAGGACACCTCCTCCTGTGCTCTGTGATTCACAATCCCATTCTCCCCCACTACAGGTCGTGACCTTTGCAGGCCACTTCACCTCAGAGCCTTCGTTGCCTTAGCTATGAAAGGGAATTATACTAACAGCATATTCCTCCTGGGATTTCCTGGAGCCCCCAGTAAGAGTAGGTGCAACGTGCTTGGTGTGATAACTGAGACATGTTGGACAAAGATAGATAATTATTACTCATTCTTAGTATTAATAATTACATTATCAATAATTATATTATAACTGTTATTTAATTCCTACCACTGTTATCAAGGTGATGTGTTGAAAGGACCTTTGTCCTTTGAAATTCCAAACGCTGTTGCCTGCTAGTAATATGGAGAAGAAGTCTGAATTATCTTCCTGAAGGGAACTTGCTGGTTTTTCTGGAATAATCTATTGAAATTACAAAATACAAGGTCAAAAAGAAAGAAGAGGTGAGGCATCACTTCTTCTTAGCTTCACATATGCTTCCTTGCCCTTCATGATACAAATGGAGACTTGGCCAAACCTGGTCCCCTCCACATTCCCTGCTGCCAGCTCTGCCGTCATCTTTAGATGTTCTGGAGAGCATGTGTGGGAAATAATATAAACCGTCAAACTTTCAGAGACAAACATGGGAGAAAATCTTCAGGATCTAGGTGTAGGCAAAGAGTTCTTAGACTTGACACCAAAAGCACAACCCATAAAAGGAAAAAATGATAAATTGGGCATCATTATAAGTAAAGGCTGGGCTTCCCTGGTGGCGCAGTGGTTGAGAGTCCGCCTGCCGATGCAGGGGACACGGGTTCGTGCCCCGGTCCAGGAAGATCCCACATGCCGCGGAGCAGCTGGGCCTGTGAGCCATGGCCGCCGAGCCTGCGCGTCCGGAGCCTGTGCTCCACAACGGGAGAGGCCGCAACAGTGAGAGGCCCGCGTACCACAAAAAAAAAAAAAAAAAAAAAAAGGCTTTTGCTTTGTAAAAGACCTTATTAAGAGGATGAAAAGACAAGCTAGAGCCTGTAGAAAATATTTGCAAATCACATACCTGACAGTAGTATCCAATGTGAAGGCTCTCTGTGGTGGTGGAATATATAAGGAACTCTCAAAACTCAACACTAACATAAACATACCAGTTAGAAAATGGGCAGAAGACAGAGATTTCACCAAAGAGGATATACAGAGGACTAACATGCACATGAAAGATATTCAACATTTTTAGGTATCAGGAAAATGCAAAATAAGATCACAAGTAAATATCACTACTCACCTATGGGAATGGCCAAAAAAACAACAACAGCAAGGAAAAAAAACCACGTACCGAATGCCAGTGAGTGAGGAGAAACTAGTTCACCCATACAGTGCTGGTAGGAATGTCAGAAGTTACAGCCGCTTCAGAAAACTAGTTCGGCAGTTTCTTGAAAAACTAAACATGCAACCACAATATGTCCCAGCAAGGCACTCCTGGCATTTATCCCAGAGAAATGAAAACTTTTGTTCATACAAAAACCTGTACCTGAATGTTCATAGCCGCTTTATTCACTATAGGCCCAGATGTGCCTCAGCAGGTAAATGGTTAAACTGGTACATCCCTTCTGTGGAACAGGACCCAACACTGAAAGGAGCAAGCTCTTGATACAATCAACAACCTGGATGAACCTCCAGAGGATTATATGCATGAAAAAAGCCAATCTCAAAAGTTACATACTATATAATTCCATTTACTTCATGTCCTTGAAATGACAAGACTGTAGCAATGTAGAACAGGTCAGAGGTTGCCTGGGGTTAAGGAGGTGGTCGGGGGAGTTTCCTGGTGGTCCAGTGGTTAAGAATCCGCCTTCCAATGCAGGGGACGCAGGTTCAATCACTGATTGGGGAACAAAGGTCCCACATGCCACGGGGCAACTAAGCCCACGCGCCACAACTACTGAACCTGCACGCTCTGGAGCCCATGAGCCACAACTAGAGAAGCCTGAGCGCCACAGCGAAGAGCCTGTGTGCCACAACGAAACACAAAGATCCTGCATGCCACAACGAAGATCCCGCGTACTGCAGCTAAGACCCAATGCAACCAAATAAATAAATAAAAATAAAAAAAAGGAGGGGGTCAGGCGGGAGGAAAGTGGGTGTGGCTATAAAACGACAACATACAGGATCCTTGTCAGAACAGATGGAAACGTTCTGTATCTCGACTGTATCAATGTCGACATCCTGGCTGTGATAATTATACTAAAATTTTGTAAGATGTTACCATTATGGGAAGTACTTGGGCTCTCTCTCTCTCTTTTTTTTTTTTTTTTTTTTTGGCGGTACGCGGGCCTCTCACTGCTGTGGCCTCTCCCGTTGCGGAGCACAGTCTCCGGACGCACAGTCTCAGTGGCCATGGGTCACGGGCCCAGCCGCTCCACGGCATGTGGGATCCTCCCGGACCGGGGCACGAACCCGTGTCCCCGGCATCGGCAGGCGGACTCTCAACCACTGTGCCGCCAGGGAAGCTCTGGGCTCTCTTTATATTAATTCTTGCAACTGTATATGAATCTACACATATCTCAAAACTGAAGGTTTGTTTAAAAAACATGTAAAATATATAAATTTATATAAATATATACTATATAAATATATTTAAAAATACATATAGTAATGAATCTTATTGAATTGTGTTTATATGTCGAAAATGATCTAATATTGGCACTTTCGTATGGTTCAACCTAATATTTTTTTCCACTCAACTGAATTGGTAGCATCCAAAACACGGTTTGGCAACTCACTTTTTCATTTCACTCCACCACGGATAGAATATTCCATATCAGTCCAAACACAGATGCCTCCAGCTGCAGAAATACAATGCCATGTTATAGGTGACCATAACTTATTTTGACAGTTTCCTCTAATGGACATTTTGGTTGTTTCCATTATTTAGCTTTTACATACAATGTTGTCATGTATTTCCTTGAACATATATCATTTGTCATGTGTTGAATAGAGGGTCTGTAGGATAAATTTCCAGCAGAATAATTACTAGGTCAAAGGATATGTACATCTTTTCTTTTAGTAAATGTTTCCAAATACACCCCCAAAGAGGTTGAACCAATGTTTACTCCCAGCCTCCCACCCACCAAGGCCATCTATGAGAGCCCCCGGCCCCATGCTTTGCAAAGACAGTGTTATCAAACTTTCATATCTGCTAATCTGATAAATGAAAAAAAAAGATATCTCATAATTTATATTTGCATTTTTCTTATATGCCTAGGTCAAGAATCTTCTCTTATACAGCCTACTAACCTAATCCACAGAATTCATTTGCAATCTCCTGAAGGGATTTTGTTTTATATTTCTCTTTATCGCATAGAGTATTTGCATACAGTGGAAGATTAAGAAATACTTGAAGATTAATTGTCACACCTGGAGCCAAACTCCTACCCCCCTCTGAGCCTGCCCCTCACCTCCTGAGGCTACAAGGACAGAATGACAAGGAGAAATCAGAAATGTGCCTTAAGATGAATAGCAAATGGAACTGGACAGCAGGTGGGGTCAGATTCACTAGAAAGCCAAGTGTTGCTTTGCCTAAATTTTCAGGGATATTTTTATAGGCTTCTGGGGCACTAGATTGAAGAGCCCACAGAGCTTTGCACCAGCTAAAGAAAATACAGAATTCATAAATGGGTACAAAATGTATCATGATGCTAACCGGCACCTGCCACTGACCTGGACGTAGTTTTTAGGAGTCTTTCAATCCCAAGAGCAAAAGATTCTGTTCTTAACAAAATCGATAATTGCACATTTAATTTTTGAACATTTCAAAAATTAAATGTATATATATTATATGTGTATTATAGATAGATAGATAAATTTACAGAGCTGTTATTACACCTGGTCATTAACACAAACGAGACATTCATTGAAACGCTAACATTCATTGCAAAGGTATTTACATGAATTTACAAATGCCCTGGACCTCTCTTGATCTAGAAGAAAATAGCAGAAGCTTCTTATTTTGAAAAATGCGTGGAACTCAGGCTGATAAGAAACCTTTCATGCATTCATGAATGCTAACTAGGAAGATAGTTGCGAACATTCCAGATGTTTATTCCTGTCTCTCTCTCTCACCTCCCCCCCTTGCGTGCTCCTTGATAACCAAGATGGAACTTGGAAAGCTCTTTTATGAAGCTGTCCCATTGTATGCTAAGTTATGGTGGGCTCCAGACTGATCCCCTGACAAAAGTCCTTTGTTTGGGGATTCCCTCTATAAACTGGGACTCAGTGAATTATGCTGCTTCTAGGAAGCTTTCCGCGGCTGATTATATTTACCTAAGCAAGCATTATTTTCTGTCTTGTTCTCTTCTTTTTCTCAAGCATAATTCAGATCTCAGGAAAGCATGAGAAATATAAGGCACTTGCTAGCCAAACAACGAGGTATTTCCGGCTCCTCTACTCTGAAAATGATTGAGGCGTTTTTCGTAACAAGCATGTGCCGCTTTTTAAAAAATTGTATTTTTCGATAGAATGTTTCCCCTGAGTACTAGGTTTGTGGGCTACGAAGTAGATGAAACGTCCTGATTTGGACATATTTTCCTTGTCTGCTGTTTCTGTTCACTTTTAGTTTTACTTAGTGTTATTTCCACAGTTGAGGGGTGGGGAAAAGAAGCATGAAAACAGCTATTTCCTATTCATCATTTTAATCCTAGAATAAGATCTTTATTGTTTTTTAAATGAGATGGGGGGATGGTTTAAGAGGAAGATTACAAAGATTTTTATTTGGGGTACTCTCTTTAAAGAAAACTAGTGGGACCTTTAAGAAAAAAGGTCGAGTCACATAAAATGAGAGAAGCAAAGGACAAAATGGTAATAAAGGGGGGGGCATTGGGGGATGTGCGTGTTCCGTTAGGACGGGGACGGTCTCTCTTCTTCCATGCAAAGCAGCCTTCTTTTCGTGAGAAACCAACTCCCTGGGTTATTAGATTCACAATGAGTTCCCCAGATGTAGTTCCCAGGAGTAAGGATTCTCAGAGGAATAAAGAGAACCCTAGAGGCTTCTGTTTGTTTTGTTTTGTTCTTGTTTTAGTAAAGTTTTGGCGAGGTAATGCTTCCAAGTGGTTCAGAAATCACAAGAGTATAACAAACAGTGAAAAGTCTCTCTTAACTGCTGTTCTGCAGTCACCTGTTTGCCTTCTCAGAGTCAACCCCTTCTAGTTTATTTGGTGCGTTATAATATCGGGAGATGTATTGTGCGTGCATCAGCAAATATAAACATATATTCCTTTTCCAACTTTCCTTACACAGCGTTAACGTACCTTACAGATTGTTTGGCACTTTCTCCCATGGACGACACGTTGATCTTGGCCATTGTTTCATCTCAGTACACAGAGCGCTCATCAATCTTTTCTATGGCTGCATACTGTTCCACTGTAAATGTACCTTAACCTATTTAACCGTCCCCAGTTGATGGGCGTTTAGGTCGCCTTTGATCTCTTGCTATTACAAACAGTGCTGCCTTGGCTCATCTTGATGGGACGTCATTTCACACATGTGTGAGTAATTCTGCAGGGGCGGCCCTCCAAGTGGAAATGGTGGGTCAAAGAGTTTGTTATTAGCCCGTGGGTGGAGAGGGAAGACTTGAGATGTTCGTTGTTATTTATAGGGCTAGGTTTTCATGCCTTCTTTTTTTCCCTACCTTAATATTTACATTTAGGTTACCCAAATAATACATGAACACGTTCTCCCTGTAGCTTAAACCAATAAACAAACAATCCAGAAGGATACATGGTAAAATGTGAAAGTCCCCTTTGAATTCTCAACGCCCTACCCTTCACCTCCACATTCTCCTTCTCAAAAGCAATTCCCCTTCTCAGAGTTAACCACTGTGAGATAGTGCACGTAATTCCAGACCTGTCTATGCATTTACATTTCGATTCACATACCTATTTCTGTGTAGGTCCAGATAGATAGAATACACAAATAGGTGTTCATATGGGTATATATAAATAGAAAAGCTTACCATAGTGCTTGTGAAACTTTTACGTGCTGAAAACTCACCTATGGATTTTGTTAAAATGCAGGATCTGCGGGAATTCCCTGGCGGTGCAGTGGTTAGGACCCGGCGCTTTCACTGCTGGGCCGGGTTCAGTCCCTGGTCAGGGAACTAAGATCCTACAAGCTGCGTGGTGTAGCCAAAAAAGAGGGGAAAAAAAAAGGCAGGATCTAATTCAGTGTGTCTGGGGTGAGAGCTGAGCTTCCCCGTTTCTAACAGTCTCCTAGATGCTGCTGATACTGCTGAATTTGGGTATCTTTTTGGTTTTTATTTGTTTTGTTTTTCTATAAATGAAAGCATACCTACTTATTGTTTTGGAAGTCACATTTTTTCCTGGCCAGGCCATTTGGGAAGGTAACACGGTTAAGGCCTTGCGAACCTAATGAACGGTGTATACGTATTGATACTATCAACTTTTATGAAAGAAACCCCATTTTATTTATTTATTTATTTATTTTTGCGTTACGCAGGCCTCTCACTGCTATGGCCTCTCCCGTTGCGGAGCACAGGCTCCAGACGCGCAGGCCCAGCGGCCATGGCCCATGGGCCCAGCCGCTCCGCGGCATGTGGGATCCTCCCGGACCGGGGCACGAACCCGTGTCCCCCGCATCGGCAGGTGGACTCCCAACCACTGCGCCACCAGGTAAGCCCAGAAAACCCATTTTAATTGATTTTTCAACCTGGGAAGCCTCTGAGACCTTCCTAAATTGATTCCATTGAATTCCAAGCATCAGTGGTGGTAATAGAAGCAGTTTTGTTTTATTTTGTTTTGTTTTTTTTTTTTGAAGCAGTTTTCATTTGCTGATGAAAGTAAGCTTCAAATGACTTGAGAATTGTTTCTGATCGGTTCATTCTTGTATCTTGGCCCAGATAGTGTGTCTTTTGAGAATGCAACAGACACAAAGAGAGGAAATGCTAGTTTCTGGACATCATTCATGTCACTGGCCAAAACCACTTTCCACTGGGCATTTTAATTAGCATAGAGAAAACCAAAGAGGACCACAGAGTCTTTCTTCAACGAATAGACTCCTATGTCATTTCTCACCCATGCAAGGGAGGGGCGGATGGTTTGCATTTGGGAAGGTCACTGGAAGGTCGCTGCAGGATCTACAGTTGTTCTAGTTGCTTTAGCCGGAGGCCAGGGATCCCTCAGTCCTCTGCTCACCCCTGCTGTGCTCTATCGCCAAACCTCCATGCTACAACAGGAACCCATCCGTCTGCACCTCCATCGATCCCACCACTGTCTCAGCTATAGATTGGCAGGGACTTCCTCACTGGTCTTCCATCCACTCCTTTTTTTTTTTTTTTTTTTTTTGGCCACACCGCACGGCATGAGGGATCTTAGTTCCCCAACCAGGGATGGAACCCGTGCCCCCTGCAGTGGAAACGTGGAGTCTTAACCACTGGAGCGCCTGGGAAGATCCTTCCCATCCACTCTTACTTCCTCCAGTGGGTTCTCCAACTGCAGCCAGGGTGGACTTGACTGAACGCAAAATGAATGAATTCCCTATGTAAGACCCCAAAGACGTGCCCCACCAGGGCTTGTAGACTGACCTCAAGGCCTTTCCCAAGTAGAACTCCCTCTTCCTCTCCAGCCTCATCACTGGACCCTCCTCCTTGCTCAGCATCCTCCAGGACCAAGGGCTTCAGTTCCTTTTACTCGCCCAGCTACCTACAGACCATGCTGTTCCCTCTGCCTGGAATGCTTTTCTTCACCCAGTTACCTCATCCTATAGGTTTCAATTCAAAGTTCCCTTCCTCAAAGAAGCTGCCTTGGACTAACCCACTCCCCCAGTAGCACCCTGCACCTCTTCTTCATACCAATTATGCCAGTGTGCAGTGGTATCTCTCTAAATATTTGAGAGCGATTACTTAATTGAAATCCGTCTCCCTCCAATAGACTATGGGTTCCATGAGGATGGGAACCATGTCCACTTTTGTTCATTGGTGTGTCTCAGTGCTAACCACAGGGCTTGGCTTATAGTAGATGGTCACGTAATAATTCTGTTGTTCGAAGGAAGGGAGGAGGGAGGACTCATGGCACATCGGCTGTTATTATTGCTGTGGACACTCTAGCTAAAGTGACTTGGTGAAGATTCTGAGAAAGGAGGTAACGGTTTGGGGCAGATTGAGTTGAGATGGTGGAAGGGACCAGAAAGCTCAGCTAAAATGTTTCTTTGCGGCTGGACCAAAAGGAAGGATGGTGGGCAATGCTGGCATCTCAGGCTCACCTGGATTAGCACTTGACAGGGAGAAGGAACAGCCCCTGCCTGCATTTCAAGGCAATATCTTGACCTCCTGTCCACACATCAGGAAGTAAGAGTCAACCAGTCTCAACCAACCTTAAGTAACAATGTGTAGCAGGGAAGGGCACCCACCCGGGGGCTATTTGGATCCACACCAAGGTCAAATCTTATCTTGGCCACAGTCTTCTTTAACTTTGCAACCTCTCCCAGGTTACACACCAACCGTGCGTGCCCTCAGCCTGGAAAGATGGTGACAGTCAAGGGTCTCACTTTACGGGGTGCAGCATAGATTAGAGTGGTCCATGCATCTATAGCACCAGGCATTGGTAAGCACTCAGGAAGTGGGATGTCCCATTGTCTGAACCAGTCGTGAGCCACAAAGAACAGCCTGGGGAAGCAGAGTGAAAAACCAACCAAGGCAAAACTGCACATGAGGTCATTTAGTACCTCCGAAGGGAAGGGTTGGCAAAACTTCTGTTTCTAACAGAACCAACTGACCACCATAATATAGAGCCCTAAAATATGAAGACTTGATCGTTTGTTCAGCTTTTTTTTTTTTTTCTCCCTATTTATTTGTTTTGTTCTCTGCTATATCCTCAGTGCCTAGAACAGTGCCTGGCATGTGTAGAGTTGAGGATGGAGCAAGGGAGGCCCCTTACCTTGGATGCTCTAGGCACCCTCTTTGCCTCACCCTAGTCCCCACCCTGGCCTGGCATATGGTGGATGCTCAATAAATAGCTGTCAGATGAATGAATCCAGGTATGTGGAAACAGCCAGATCTTTGAGTTGACCTCTTCTCCCAGGTGTTTTGACCTCAGGTTTGAGCAGCCTCAGGCTAACTTGATGAGTTTCTCTGATCCTTGCCTCCCAGGAAACAGACATGATGGTCAGGAAAACATCAGTGATAATACTGATATTCAGCCTTTCTGGAGCCCCCCATCTCTGTCCTCTACAGTTCTTCCCAGAACACTTGAAGGAGTTATATTTGTTTTTAATGCACCAGGACTGTGAAGTAGGTCATGTAGGCAAGTGGGAGAAGAGACAGAGAAAACTGCTTGACCTCCTTGATGAAGATAATTTCCGTGTAGATAAGGCAATAGGAGGGTCATCAATGTTTTCATCCTGCTCCAACCTGCTTGCCATCTAATTTAGTTCTACAGTTAACCTTTACATCAGAAGCAGGGTTATGCTGTTATAAAATGTTGGGACATATTGCCTTTGCATTCCTGAATGTTTTCCTTCATTTCCTATTGTTTATTTAAAATTGTTTTTTGCATCGCAATTTTTTAAGTTTTATTTATTTGTTTATTTATTTATTTATTTGGCTGTGCCGGGTCTTAGTTGCAGCAGGCGGGCTCCTTAGTTGCAGCTCGTGGGCTTCTTAGTTGTGGCATGCAAACTCTTAGTTGCAGCATGCATGTGGGACCTAGTTCCCTGACCAGGAATCGAACCCTGGGTCCCCTGCATTGGGAGCGCGAGTCTTAACCACTGTGCAGCCAGGGAAGTCCCTGCATCACGTTTTTAAAAAACTTTAAAATTTATATCCCCACGGAAGATTTTTTTTTTTTTTTCGGTACGCGGGCCTCTCACTGTTGTGGCCTCTCCCATTGCAGAGCACAGGCTCCGGACGCGCAGGCTCAGCGGCCATGGCTCACGGGCCCACACGCTCCGCGGCATGTGGGATCCTCCCGGACCAGGGCACAAACCCGTGTCCCCTGCATCGGCAGGCGGACTCTCAACCACTGCACCACTAGGGAAGCCCACCACAGAAGATTTTTTAAAAATAATTCAAATTGTTGAGTAGGTAATACAGTCATATGATCCAAAACCTGAAAAGAATGGGCAAAATGGAAAGAGCTCCCCACCCCCACCCAACTCTTGTTCCTCCTCCACCCAGGTCCCCTCCCATCATTTCTTATAGATTTTTGCAAAATATCTCTGTGCAAATACAAATATGGATTCTTATTTTCCTCTGTTTCTTTTACATATGATAGCAGACTGTACACATTTTTTTCCCCCTGCAGCTTGCTTTCTTCCTCTTGATCACATTATCTTGAAGATCATTTCATATCTCTTCCTAGGAGCTTCCTCATTCTTTGAAAGGACCACATTATAATGTACATAAATGTATACTGTATATAAGGAATATAAGGTAAAAACTCGGCATCTGTTCCCAGCCCCAGTTCTTACTGTCTGGAGTTTTTAACTCACCACTATTAATAGTTTGTGGTTCTTTTTTTTTTTTTGAAGTATAGTTGATTTACGATATTATATTAAATTGTGTACAACATAGTGATTTGATAGTTTTACAGATTATACTCCATTTCAAGCTATTATAAAATATAAGCTATATTCCCTGTGCCGTACGTGACATCCTTATATCTCATTTATTTTATACCTTGTAGTTTATACCTCTTAATGCCCTTGCCCTATCTTGCCCTCCCCCACCCCTTTCCACACTGGTAACCACTAATTTGTTCTCTGTATCTGTGAGTCAGTTTCTATTTTGTTATATCCATTCTTTTTTTATTTTTTAGATTCCACATATAAATGAAAATATACAGTATTTGTCTTTCTCTGACTTATTTTATGAAGCATAATACCCTCTCAGTCCATCCATGTTATTGCAAATGGCAAATTTTCACTCTTTTATGGCTGAGTAATATTCCATTGTATATATATATATACCACATCTTCTTCATCCGTTTATATGTTGATGGACACTTAGTTGCTTCCATATCTTGGCTATTGTAAATCTGTGGCTGTTCCTCTAGACCTTTTTGCATTCCAAATATATTCCAATAATTTGAGAATATTTTTGTAAACATTGTATTGGAAATATTAATTTTTCTGAAACTTCTTAAACATAATAATATGTCTTGGGCATTTTCCCCCTATCTTTATCTATAGTTTTAACTCTTTTTAACTTGGCTTTATTTTTTGATAGTGCATAGTATTCCACAGTATAACTGAAACACACTTTCTTTAACCCTTCTTCAATCGATCTGGCCAAAGATTTTAAATAATTTATTTCACAAGGAATAAAATTTTCAGCATAT